GCGCCTGGCCTGACGTTCTTGAATTTAGTTCCTAGGGCTGCTGAGACACAAAGTGCCATAGACTTACAACAGACTTTTATTCTGTCTCAGTTCTGGAAGCTGGAAGTCTGAAATCGAGAGGTTGACAGGGCCACACTCTTTCTGAAGGTTCTAGAGGAGAATCCTTCCCTGCCTGGTCCTGGCTGCGGGAGCCCCCGGGATTCCTTGGCTCACGGCAGCATCACTACCTGTCTTCGCATGGCCTTCTCTGCATGTGTCTCTCTGTGTCCTTGTCTCTCTTGATACGGACGCTGATCATTGGATTTAGGGCCTATTCCTAAATCTAAGATGATTTCATCTCAAGATTTTAATTAATCACATATGCAAAGACCCTATTTCTCAGTAAAGTTACATGATTTGGGGAGGGGAGTTACTATTCAACCAACTACAATTCCCCTCCCGCAGAATTGCTTTACTATTCATAGCATGTTCTGGGAGGCTCCTGCCTTTGTCTGGATGTACTTGTGTCGGAGCTCGGTGCCTTGAGAATTTAAGGGCCAAGGGAACACAGACGACACGGCAACCAGTAATCCTGACTTGTCTGGCCCCATTCCCTAACCCCCGGCATGGCTGCTTTTCACAGGGAAGAAAAATCACCATCAACTTGTGCTTGGTGTTGCTATTCTGTGCGCAATGCTGTAGCCCGCGGAGCGCTTCCCATTTGGGCTTTTGGAACTTTCCGAAGAAGAACAAGAAAAACAAGTGCTGTTTGGTATCACACAGCAGTGTTTGTGTTTGCAAAATGCCTCTCCCATTAGACAATTCCAATTTGAAATACAGATTAGCTCTGACAAAACTGACCCGGGCTGGCTTTTCCCTTTGATGGTTTCAATTTCAGGCTTATCCATCACAAATGATCGTAATGCCACAGGATTTTGACAGAACAGGGGTAGCCGTTTTGAATTCTTACCTGCAATTTCTGGCTCTGGGGAATAATAGCAGAGAGAAAAACAACAATAACTTAGTTCTAGGGAATGAAAACATGCTGAAGTTCCCCTTTGGTTTTTATGCTCCTAGGTATTCAACAAGTTTCTCTCCCTGATGAACAAATAAGCTCTCTGGTACCAGATTAAGAGCCTTACAAAACCTCACACATTTCTCCTTTTGCCTTAAGTAAAAAGGAAGCATGAGGGAAAATTTAATGATCAATTTCAGTAATGATTAGCTTAGATGTTTATTACATTCAGGCTCTCTCTCTCTCTCTAAGCTCTATTTCTAAGATTTTATTGTACCTATGACTTTATATCCCTCCTGGATGTTTTTTCCTTGTCCTGATTTCTCCGATCATCTCCTTTTCTTTTTCTTTCCCCCACCCTGCCACCCCCCGCTCCTGTATCTCCTCTGCCCGCCTCTTAATACTGA